ATAGAGGGCATTTTGTATACTTTGAGACAAAGCCACAGAGGCCGTGGCCCTAGTGGCAATAGCAGTTATGGCAGCCACTATGCCTGTAGGGTGATAATTGCCAACCTGGCCAAGAAAAAGGCCACAGGGCTGTCTGTCAGCCCTGCACCCATGACCATATCACCTTCTATCCTTGTCAGGCACTTGATTTGCCCCCGACTGGGTGGACTTGCTCCCTGGGCTGCTTGAGACAAATGGTTCCTGATCTGCCCCCTGGGTGGTGCTAGCATCACTGGCCTCCATCTTAGGAGACATTCCTTTCCTCTGGGGGTTCGAATTATCTCTCCATATGTTCTGTCTTCTCCTCATCCATCAGCTGCAGTTTCTTTATTCGCGGGGCGTGTGGAGTCATAAGGCTTCACAAAGCGAGACAGCACCCACACTGGCTGATCAGTACATTTGGGGAAAACACAAACATGCCCTAAGCCCCATATTAGCAGTGGACTGGGGCCTACCCATATGCCCTATAACACATCTTTCCAAAGAACCAGAGGCAAGGTGGCCTTGCTGGGCTCAGCCCAGTGTTTTTCTGCTGGAGTTACTCCCTGATTTGTACAATCTAAAAAATTCAGAGTGTAAAGAGCTTTATTTAACATGGTGGCAGGAAGAGGAGTATCTCCCCCTTTTTGTTTTTCTAATTGTAATTTTAAGGTGTGATGGGCTTGTTCTACAGTGGCTTGTCCCTGTGTATTATATGGAATGCCAGTATAATGGAGTATCTAATATGACGGGTAAAATGCATGAAAAGCAGCTGATGTGTACCCAGGCCCATTTTCTGTTTTGTTCTGGTGATGTTTACCTATAATAGTAAAAGTAGCCAGACAGTGGGCTATGACATTTGGTGGCTTCACTACTGCCGGCAGAGGCATAAATGAAACCAGTATAAGTGTCAATGGTGACATGTACAAAGCAAAGGTGCCCGAAGGATGGTATATGAGTTACATCCATCTGTTAGATACTCCTTGGCTGGAGGCCATGAGGGTTGACCCCCTCTAGCGGAGAGGGAAGGTGTTGTGCACAGGTTTGGCAGGTTTTAACAATTTGTCAGGCCTGTTCTCTGGCAAGATGAACTGTTTGCTAAGGGCATTTGAGTTTTGATGATAGAATGTATAACTCTGACCAGCCTGTGTGACAGCAGAACCAGAAGCACAGGGGTTAACATGTTGCAAAAGGTGAGAAGGAGAAGCCAATTTGTCCACATTTTGATTGCCCTCAGCAAGAGGACCCAGAAGACCAGAGTGGGAGCATAAGTATCCTACAAAATAGGGATGATGGCAAGCCTGTTAGACAGACCACAACTGGCAAAACAAATTGAATAGTTCATCATTATTGGTATGGCCACTGTAGGCAGTTTCAATGGCACGCAGTACTCCTGTGACATAGGCACTATCAATATAAACATTAATGGCCTCAGTGGAAAAATCACAGCAGGCCATGATGACAGCCTGCAGCTTAGCATGCTGAGCAGTGAAAAAAGATGTTTGTTCTACCTTATGGCCCTTTGCAGAATAATAAGCTGCCATCCCTGTCCCTGATGCATCTGTGAACAGAGTAAGGGCATTAGGGATAGGTTTTTCTTGTAGCCAACATGAAAACACGAAGGAATGAGTTGATGCAAAATGTAGGAGTTTAGAAGTTCATTTAACTGTCCAGGGAAATTAGCCAGCGCATTCTGCCACATTTCTGAAAACTGCCAAAGCCAATATTGTTGTTCCTTAGAAAATGGGATTATAATAGAATCTGGTTCTTGTCCCACAAGCTGTATACACTGCAAACATCCCTGCCCGATTATCCTGGCCACCAAATCATAATAGGGAGTAGTCACCCTTGATGGGGAGTGTCCGAGATGGATCCATTCTATTATTCCCTATTGTTGCCAAAGGGCCCCAGTGAAGGGTACTGGGAGAGGGTAATACTAACAGTGGGTGTGGGTCTCATCAGTTTAGTTGTGTTTATTTTTAATTTTTTAATTATTTTATTTTATTTTATTGTTCATTTATTCACATGTGCATACATTGTTTGGGTCATTTCTCCACCCTGCCCCCTTCTCCCACCCTTCCCTCCCTCCTCAGTTTCAGGCAGGTCCTGTTCTGCCCTTATCATTGATTTTGTTGAAGAAGACATATGCATAGTAAGAAAGACAAAGCATTTTTGCTAGTTGAGTTAAGGATAGCTATACAGAAAGATTCCTACTATTGCTTCATGTACCCATGTGTTACAATCCATGTTGATTCAACTCTAACTGATCTTTACATTAGTTCCTGATCCCCTGCTCATGATAACCTGTCGTTTTAAGGTTTCTGTATTAGTTCCTCTGGAGTGGGGACATCAAACTTTTTCATGTTTTGGGTTTTCTACCTATTCCTATATCTCCCATATGTGCTCTCCCCTTTTCTTGTGATCCAAGTTCAACCACATTGCTGCATTTGCCCCAGATCTAAAGTCCGCATATGAGGGAGAACATACGATTTTTGGTCTTCTGAGTCTGGCTGACCTCACTCAGAATGATGTTCTCCAGTTCCATCCATTTACCTGCAAATGATAAGATTTCATTTTTCTTCATGGCTGAGTAAAATTCCATTGTATACAAGTACCACATTTTCTTGATCCATTCATCAGTAGTGGGGCATCTTGGTTGTTTCCATAACTTGGCTATTGTGAATAGTGCTGCAATACACATGGGTGTGCAGGTGCCTCTGGAGTAAGTAAACATAGTTGTGCTTGTTGAATAGCCTTTTCTACCCTTTGTAGGGACTGTCTTCCCTCCAGGGTTAATTGTCTGGGAGATGAGGGATTGCTATCTCCTTTAAGTATATTTTTTAAAAAGAGGAGAAATTTCTGTGGTGGTTAATTTGAGAGCAAGACATAGCCAATTGATGTTTCCCAAAAGTTTTTGAAAACCATTTAAAGTTTTTAAAGCATCTTTACAAATTTTCATCCTTTGAGGGTGGACGGTGCACCCTTCTATGAGGTAGCCAAGATACAAAAATGGAGACTGTCATTGCACCTTTTTCAAGGCAACAACTAGCCCCCAGGCAGGCAGAGTGTGTAAAACTGAACCAATATCTCATGCAAAATTCTTTCATTTTAGTGGCTAATCAGAATATCATCCATATAATGAATGGAAATTTCTCTCAGAGGGATTTGAGTGCAGCAGCAACAAATTCTTGGCACATAGCAGGTCTATTGGCCATACCTTGTGGCAAGACTTTCCAATGGTATCTTTTGTATGGGGCCTGGTGATTTGTAGAGGGCAAAGAAAAGGCAAATTTTTTCCTATCTTCTGAATGGAGTGGGATAGTAAAAAAGCAGTCTTCAAGGTCTATAATATATAAATGATTTTGTAAAGGAATGGCTGTAGGGTGCCCATGAGCTGCATCACTTTGTTAACTTCTGATGTCTTGTAATAAATGCCACTTACCAGACTTCTTTTTAATTACAAATATGGGGGTGTTCCAAGGGCTGTGAGTAACCTCAACATATCCCATTTGTAACTGTTCCTCAAACAATTTTTGGGGCTGCAGCCAATTTTTCCCCTGCTAGGAGCCACTGGTCTACCCAGACAGGCTCTTTTGTCAGCTATGTAATTTGAGTGGCGGTCCTTTTTGGGGGGGTTATTGTTGTCTGACCCGGGCCCCTCCTAAAAAGTTGATTGGGGAGTAGCTTAATCTGGTGCACCCAGAGGGTCTCTTACTATCAATAGGGTATAATCTTCCCTATTGGGTTTTTCCCAGTCCTCTACAAGGATCAAAGGCCTGTTGTAGCATCATGTGGGAGACCACGCTGTTGGGACTACAGAGTATGGCTCCCATCCCTTGTAAAACATCTCTTTCCCACAGGTTTACTGGGAGGTCTCTTAAAACATGTTGTAAAAAACCCTGAATGTCCCTCTTCATTATGCCATTTAATTGGGGCAGGACTCTGCAGGGGGGCCCTGGCTGACCCCATCCCCTGCAGGTTTGCTGAAGCCTGTACACAGGGCCACGTTAAAGGCCAGTGGCAAGATGCAATCACCAAGACATCTGTGCCAGTGTCTAGCAGACCCAGGAATTTTTTGCCATTTAGGAATAGAGTCATTTCTGGTCTCTCAGCAGTAACTCGCTGGACCCGGTAAGCGTGATCTGAATGTCCAAACCCTTTATCTCCTCGAGGAGTAGGTGTTAACACCTTGCCCTTTTTTATATTAGGAAAAAGAACCAGTTGGGGCTATTGCAACAAATGTTTGAGAGGCTTGAGCCAAGATCTTAAGTTCCCCTGTATAATCTTGGTTATTTACACCTGGGTGAATTTGTAAACCTTGGAAAGTCATACTGCTTCTAATATTAATCCCATTGTGTCTTTAGGAAGTGGACCATAAATCCCTGTAGGGATGTCTTGAACACCCAATTCAGGGGTTAAGACATTGGGCAGAGGGACTGAGGTCCAGTCCTGCACTTCCTGGGGTGGCCCTAAAGAGGTCCTCAAGGGTATAGTGGGAGTTTGGCAAACAGAGAATGCCCCTATTGTTTGATGGGGCCAGGGTGGATCCCACCAGGAGTTTCCCCGTTCCTGTAGAGTGCAACCCTCAACATCAGTTTGGGAATGACATTCATTTGCCCAGTGTCTCCCTTTATGGCACTGTTGGCAAACTCCAGGGGGCCGGGCCCCTGAGCCAGGAAAGGATGGCACCATTCCAGCCCTACCAGAGGGGAGTCTTTTTCCCCTGTGTGACATTCTTTGGCAAAATGCTCTGACTGCCTGCAAGTAAAGCAGGCACCTTTACCCCCTTTTTCAGAGGGATAGATAATCTCTTTTATGGCAGCAGTGAGAGCTGCCCCCTGAATATGATGAGCCCCTACATCAGAACAAATCCTGATCACTTCTTGGATGGAAACACTTCTTCTGTGGGGATGTAATGCCTCCCTACAATATTTATTAGCATTTTCAAAGGCCAATTGTTGGACAATCATGGTTCCGGCTTCATGATCTACCACTATTTTCCCCACAGCCTGCACAAGGTAGGCAACAAAATTCTGGAATGGCTTATCAGGCCTCTGTAAGATTTTAGTAATTTCTTGAGACTTATTTCCCTTAGCAGGCAACTCTCTTCAGGCTCGAGTAGCTGCAATTGCCATCTGTGGATAAGCCTGAATAGGGAACTGGAGTTGATTAAGCACCCCTTTAAATGGACCCCTACATCAAATAACATGTCCGAGTTAATTGGAATTCCATGAGCAGCATTACTGGCCACTTGCTCCCCCACATAATTCTGTGTAGCCGGTTTTCCACAATAAATATTCCCCTGGGCTTAGACAAGCCTCGGCAATCCCCATCCAATCTTCAGGCGGCCGGGCTGAATCTCCCACTGCACTGTTTAGCAATTGCGCAGTAAAGGGGGCAGTAGGACCATACATAGTACATGCCTATTTGAGTTCTTTTAAGGCTTCGAATGAGGCTTGTTAGTGAACTCTGATAAGTGCCTGAGGATTATTGGGATCAGGTTTCTCAACCACAGGGTAGACATGGAAACCTGACATATCTTCCCCATGATCTGTGCTCACAGTAAGGCCCTCTGTAAGGGACTGCCATGGTTCTCAGATCTCGGGGACCATGGGCAGTCCCCCAAGTGAAGAGTCTCTTTTAATAGATGAGCCATGGCATCTTCATATTCTTTCCCCTCAGAACTGGAGTCAGAGCTTGTGTCTGAATCCTCAGTCTTATATTTATGGTATTTAAAGGTAGGCTCTGTGTCTTGTAGGGGTGGAACAGTTGGACAGGTAATAGAGTCCGCCCCACTTACTAGACTCTGGTGTCCCCCTGAAGAGGCTGCAGGTACCCTGGAAAAACTCCCTGCACCTCCAGTCTCTGACACAGATGAGGGAAATTTTAATTTATGTATGGGAGTTGGAGACTAAACAGTCTCTACTCTGACTCCACAAACCGAAAGTAAACACTGGCATGCCGTCCGGCCCTTTAGCCATGTAACGGCCTTTCTCCCACCTTTTGCCAGGTATCAAGATTTACAGTGCCTTCCTCTGGAAACCAAGGACATGCGTCCTGAACATAATCTAAAAATTGTGTAAGCTGAAGCAAACCAATTTTGCTTCCTCCAGTTTTAAGCCTTGCTTTTAGCATTTGTACATAGAGATCTGTTTCCTTTGAGCCATTTTGTCCCATTGTTTTACACCCGGCAATATCTTTTACACTCTCCCCCTTACCTTAATTTACAGTGTGCACTACTTGGAGAGTATCCCCTCATCTGAGCTGTGAGTTCCCCTGTAGCCAGGCCCAGCATTGGGCACTCCTCTCACGGCCAGCGTGAGCAGGTCCCTTGACCTGACTGGGAGCAACTGGGGATTGAGAAAAAAGACACAAAGACAGACATATAAAAAAGCTTGGGACCTGGTGGGTCCAGCACTCCTGATGAGAGATGCCAGCGACCCCTTCTGCCTAAAAGCACATTTATTTATACAGCAAGTGTGGGAAAGCGGGGTGACGTGCAGGTCGAGTTCTCATGGGTCAGTTGCATAATGCAGCTGTGATATGTTGTCATTTACTGCAGACTATCCTGACTACATCAGCAAGCCCTGTTTTCCCTGCAAGGCGGCCTTGCTGAGCCTTGCCTCCCTTTGGCTGGGTCCGTGCCTATCAGCCAAGAGGCCTTTTGACAGTGCTATGCTCATGCCAACGTCTATCTCCACTGCCTCAGTCTCCCTACTCACAAGCCAGCCTTGCTGAACCTTTCTCCCTCCTTTGTGCCAGGGCCTTGCCTTCTCAGCACCAAAGGTCTTTGACATAGCCTTGCACATGTCAAAGTTTCTTCTCAGTCTATTTAGTTACTGGTCTCCCACAAAGAGTAAAGCAGAAGAATTGCTAGAATATTGTTAAAGTACTTTTGCTGATAAACCTTTTTTATAAGCACCCTTTAGAAAGTTCCTTTTCCTTGAAATAAGTTGAGATGTTGGCTAAATAAATTGAGATGTTGAACAAACTTCAGGTCAACAGAACACCATCTGTTATAACAGCCACTTCCAACAGTCAAGACATTTCCACCAATAAAAGACCTGTGAATGGTAGAAACACAATCCTTCACATAACACACTATAGAACAACTGGTGCAAAATTGAAGGGAATGATGTGATTGGTAATGATACTCTTCTCCCATCCACTAAGTGCATTTTTAAAATCCAAAGAAAAATAATGTTTCATGATAAGCTAAAGTCATGTGAAATTTATATTTTAAGAGTCATCCTTCCATTGACTCAATTCAGTGTAGAAAAAAAGGATTGAGAGGCAATTACTATATGGGGCTGAGAGATGGTTTTATGGGAAAGATATTTAGCATGTGTGCTACAAGATAAGTAAATGTGCCAGGTGCAGTGGCTCACTCCTGTAATGGTAGTTCCTTGGGATACTAATATTGGGAATGGCAAAATTCAAGACAGGCCAGGAAAAATTCCAGACCTTATTCAAAAAACAGCTAAAGCAAAAAGGCTAGGGGTGTAGCTCGAGCGGCAGAACACTTTTCTGACAAGTAGAAGGCCCTGAGTTCAAACCCCAGCACCACAAGGGGAAAACAGTTTGTAGAATTGGGCCTCAATTAACTTCCAAAAAAATGAATAAATTTCATTAGGTGGAAATATAGAGGCAATATTGTAGGTGTAAATTGAAAAGATAGTCAGTATCCCAAAAATAGAAGTGAGATTTACTGTGGTTAAAGCAATGGCTACTTTGGAAGGAGTAAAGGTGGTGAGATAGTGCTAGAAATGGAAGTAATGGAAAGACCACAGTGCATGCTATGGAAATGAGAATCATTTGGGTAGCTTTGTACAGTGGTATAGTTGTTTTGGACCTATCATTCAGGTTATCATTCCATGATCAAATGTCTCTTTCCCTGCAAAATCCACAGACTTGTGGGATTTGGAAGAACAATTTACTAGGAAACCTCAGATTTTCAAATTTTGTAGTTCTTGCAAGAAGAATAATTAAATAATGGAACTGCAACATGTACTCTATTTTGTCCTCATGGAGTCTTAGGCTATCTGCTCTTAGAAACTAAGAGCAAACAAAAAATGCCAGGTATGATATTTTTAAAACATTAAAATCTTTAGAAGCTGAATAGAAATAGACTAAGTAGTAGGTTAAGTGTAGAACATTTCAGGTTGTCCAAAAATTCTTAATATGTCATTAATCAATAATAATAATATTATTAAACTAGTTCCAAATAGACCTCTGAAAGGTGCAAGTGGAAATCCTGTCTAGAAGTAGATAGGAGAATGTCATGATCCTTGACTTTCACTAACTGGTTCCTAGGACAGTCTTTTAACATGACTAAATACCACACAGTTGAACTAAACTAAACTACAAGGAAGGAAGGCACAATGAACAAGAACAAGCCAAAACAATAATGCCTCCCAAACATCAGACACTGCAGTGACCAGATTTATCTGTAAAGTGATTCTAATTACTATGTTTAAAGAAAAAGAATAGATTTAAATTCTTAGGGAGAATGGAAGCCATAAAATAAAATCAGCAAATAAGGAATAAAATGGAATGCCTGGAAATTATAAATATCATTATTAAGAACATAGTAAGATGGGTTGACCAACAAATTAGAAATAATTAAAGAAAAAGTAAAACTGAACTTAGGTCATAATTGTCCAGAAGTTAGACTGAAAAGAGAGAAATGTGTAAAGTATTTGGAGACTTAGAGGATAGAATAAGAAGTTCTAACACATTCAATGAGAATCTTAGAAAGATAACTTTTTTGGCTTTACTGGGGTTTGAACTCTGGGAATCACGCTTCTTAGGCATACACTCTACCACTTGAATCATACCTCTAGTCCCCCCTCTATTGGCTTTTGTTATTTTTTCAGGTAGGTGCTTCCATTTTTGTCTGCAGCTGGCCTTGGACCTCCCAATGGCTGGGACCACAGGCAGGAAACACCACACCTGACTTGTTGATTGAGATATGGGTCTGACTAACTTTTTTCCTGGCCTGTCCTTAAACTCTGATCCTCTCAATCCCTGTCTCCTGAGTAGCTGGAATCACAGCCATGAAGTACTATGCCCAGTCCGAGATAATGTGTTTTGAAAAGTAAGGCTAAAATTTTTCCATAACTGATGAAATATTACAGTCCATGTTCAAGCAATCAAGTAAGTCACTAGTAGAACAGGAGAAACTGACCACAGCAGATGTAAAGATGATCTCCAGCATCCAAGATGGGGGTGGATGTGGGGAAGTTGTAACATCCACAAGGAAGGAAAGACAGTGCAGTGAAATTTTCAATGCTTAGACTATCAGCCTAGAACTATTTTTATCTTAAAGACATGCCCAGACCAGCTCAAACTCAGGATTCACCTACCTCAGCCTCCCAGAGGTGGGCTAACAGGTGTCCAACATGCCAGCTCACTAACTTAGAATTCTTTTTTCAGTAGTAGGGATTGAACCCTGAGCCTCACACTTCCTAGGCAGATGCTGTTCCACTTGAACTACACCCCTGGGCATTTTGTTTTTAGTTATAATTTTCAGATAAGGTTTGATAACTTTGCCTAGTATGGCCTTAGACTGTGCTCCTCCCACCTCACCTCCTTAGTAGCTGGGATTACAGGCATGAGTCACCAGGCCCTGCCCAATCTAGAATTTTGTAACCAATGAAAATCATAAGAATGAGGACAAAGGGCAGATGACATGAATGTACATAGAAAATCCACAAAAAGCTGTAGATACTGTAGATAAATTGTCAGAACAAGTGGGTCTAACAAGCTTGCTAGAAACACTATATCCAATATTTAAAAGAAACTTTCCTGTATTCCAACAAGCAATAACCAAATAGAATTAAAGCACATAGTAGTATCCAAAAGGAATTACCTAGGAATAAAGCTAACAATATTCTGGAGACTTTTAGACAAAAGATTATCAAAGGACAATGTAAAAAAAGAAAACATCCATGTTCAAAGTTTTAGTAAAAACTCAATTCTCCACAAACTATTTCTGGTTTTAATGAATGTCCAGTGG